GGAGGGAATTATGGGATATGGAGGTGCTCAGGGGGATTGTGGGATACAGGCGGACCCAGAGGGATTGTGGGATCTGGGGGTGCTTGGGCCCAGGGGATTGTGGGATATGGGGGTGCTTGGGCCCAGGGGATTGTGGGATACGGAGGTGCTTGGGGGTTATGGGATATGGGGGGGCCCAGAGGGATTGTGGGATACGGGGATGCTCAGGGACCAGGGGATTATGGGATATGGGGGAGTGGCTCGGGCCCCTTTTTCCCCATATCCCATAATCCCCCTCGTGCAGGGGTGGGGAGATTCGAACCCGTGACCTCAGGGTGCCCGGGGGGGAGGGGACTGTGTACCAACTGTCATTTTTGATTGACATTGCAGCACAGCCAATCAGGAGAGAGGGGGAGAACGGAAGGGGCGGGCCTCGGCCAGTGATTGGCAGGCATGGGCGTGGCCTAGGCGTCGGGCGTTTCCCGCTCTCGGTCTCGGACGGGCAGAGGCAAGCGGCGGGGGGGAGGGAGAGGGCTTGCGCCCCAAAGTTGGTTGGAAGAGAGAGGCGCCTCCTGATTGGTCAACGGGAGTAGAAGGCGGCCTCATGATTGGTTGGAATTGCGAAGGGGCGGGGCAAGGCTCACAGGGGAGTCGCTGAGACGGGGCGGGGCATCGCCCTCGGATTGGAGGGCCCGGCGCTTGCGTATCGATCCCGCCGCCGCCGTTGGCTCCCCCCCTCCTCGTGCTCCCACCGACGCCTCCGGATGGGTCGCCGGGTCGCGCGCGCGGCGTCTGAGCAACGCAACGCAACGCCGTCCCCGATTGGCCCCCCTAACCCTTCCTCCGCTTCCCATTGGCCACCTCCCGCGGGGCCCCGTCCTCCGATTGGCCCGCGGCCCCGGGCGGACTCCCGCTGATTGGTTGGCGAGGCGCGCCCCTGCCCCCCCGCCTGCGCGCGCGCCGTGTGTGTGCGCGTCGGGGGGGCGGCCGCTCGCTCGCTCGCGCGCGCTGCTGTGTGAGGCGGCGGCAGCAGGTCGGGTCGGTCCCTGCCTCACGGTGGCGGAGCCGGAGCGGCCCGGGGCGCCTCCCATCCCCCCCCCGCTGCGGGGCTCCCCTCAGGCCGGGTCCGGCGACGGCGGCTCCTGCTGCTCGGCGGCCGGGCGGCTCCGGCCCGCGGCGGGGCCTGGGCCCCTCCCCGGGGGGGCGGCGGCCGGGCCCATGGAGGGGCTGCCCGTGGAGGTGCGGGGCTCCAACGGGGCCTTCTACAAGGTGAGGGGGAGAGCGGGGGGGCCCCGCTGTGCGGGGGGGGAGGGGTTTGGGGGCCGGGGGTACGATGGGGGGGAGGGGAGCGAGGAGCGGGGAGGTCCCATTGGGGGGTGCGGGGTAGGGGGGGAGGGGGCATTATGGGGGGCCGTGGAGGTCCCTTTGGGAGGTGGGGGAGGGGAGCGTTGCGGTCCCATGGTGGGGGAGGGGTTTGGGTCCAGGGGGGCTGGGGGAAAGGGTGGGGGAGGGAGCAGGGAGTGGGCAGGTCCCACTGAGGGGGTAGGGTAGGGTGGCTGAGGGGGGGAGGGGGCAGGAAAGTCATACAGGTGCGTTGGGTAAGGTGGATGAGTGGGAGGGGTATGGAGGGGATGATGGGGGGTTAGGGGAGGTAATAGTGGGGGGTGTAGGGAGGGGGTATGACAGGGTGGGGGAAGGTGGATGATGAGCTGAGGGAGGGTCAGAGGGTGGTAATTGGGGGTGTGGGAGAGGGGGTCAGGTGGGGGGCTGTGGAGGTAATAGGGTGCGGAGGGAAGCATATAATGGGATGGGGGGTTGGTGTAGGCAAACGGGGGAGGTAAAAGTGGGGGCAAGGAAGGGGAGGCGATGGGGTGAGGCAGAGGGGGCTGGGTGGGGGCAAGGGAAGTAACTGGGGGAAGGGGAGGAGGTCTGTGGGCGAGGGAGGGGTGTGAGGATGGAGGTCTGGTGTGGGGGGGTCTGGCAGGGGTTGGGCACAAAGGGGGTATAGGGTGGGGGAAGGGGGGGTAATGGGGGCATGGTGGGGGGAGGGAGGGGAGGCAGAGAGGGTTGGGTGCGGGAGGGTAGGAGCAAGGGAGGGGAGATGTATGGGTGGGAGGTAGTGGGGGTCTGGTGGGTGGTGATGGGCTGGGGAGGTAATGGGGTCTGGGGAGGCATTGGGAAAGGGCGTAAGTTGAGGGCAAGTGGGTGGTATGATGGGGGGCTGTGTGTACAGTGGGGCACGAGGCAGGGTATGAGGGGAGGTAATGGGGTTATGGTGGGGGCAGTTGGAGGAGGGGGTTACGTGGCTGTGGGTTTATGATGGGGGTATGATGTGGGCGGCTTATGGGGGGGTCTGTAGGAGGGAGGGGAGGTAATCTGGGGTATGACGTGTGGGATTATGGGGCAGTAACTGGGGAGCGGGGCTATGTGGTTTGGGGGTTATTTAGGAGGAAGTGAGGGAACCAGGAAGGTTTTGAGGCACAGAGTGGACTAGAGGGCTCTAACTGGGGGCCAAGGGGCTGGGGGTAAGATGTGGGGGGAAGGGGGTATGTGGGGGCTCACGGGAGGACATGAGGTATGGGGGGATTGGAGGAAAGATGTTGGGAGAGGAGGATTATGGGGGGAGAGGCTGGGTGTTTGGTGTCCCCTGGGGCGTGACTGAAGGGTCTGGGACTCTGCATAAAGCTGTAGGGACTTGTGGGAGGGGGGATGGAAGGCCCCCCCCCCCATTAGCAATGAGGATTTCCTCTCCTAGGGATCCCCTGCAGTCGGTTACAGGGTCACTGGGGATCGGAGGCCCCCTAATATGGGATGGAGGGTCACTGAGCTGGTTAGGCATCCTTAGGATAGCGACCCTGCTTCCCCGATCCTTTTGGGGGCCCCTGACTGTGAGTGGGGCGATCAAAACCTGGATTTTTGGGGGTCTGAGAATGGTGGGGGTCTGAGAATGCAGTGTCACTGTGGGGGTGGGGAATCCCAATTTAGCCTGTGGTGCACTGTGCCTATGTCCCCCTTATCTCTAAGCTCCACATAGGGGCCCCCCTTCTTTCCTCCTTTCCCTCCGCACCCCTAGAAGGTTTGCGTTTGCACTGTGGCTCTTCCATCGGGCTGTCCTTTTCCCTCCCCACTTTTCCTTTCATTTTCCCCAAGACAACTCCCCTTTGCTCCTTCTCAGATGCGTCTCAAAAGCTCAGCCCTGCCTCCTAAACCCAGACATCACAGGGGTCAGAGCTCCCCTCCAACAATCCGGCAGGGTTCCAAATCCACCCTGGGCAGTCCGGTTGTAGCGGACCTTTATTGTGTGTCAAAGGAAAAGTGGGAGGCCTGGGACGCTGTCTGAATCAACCAGATGTTCCTTTCAGCTCTTAGTTCCTTGCTGCCAGAGCGCCACTGGCAGGTGGATGTGTCTTGTACGGGGACCCAACGTCACTTGAATAGCAAAACCTCCCCCCCCCCCAAATTTCTAATGCCTAATCAGTTGCTCCATCTTAATTTCTGACGCGAGATCCCTTGATGATGTCAGGTTGCGCCCCAGTCTGTATTTTTTGCGAGTGGACTGGAAACCAAGGATTTGAGTTCTCTCGCCTGGTGGGGAGATAAATATCGTGATTTCCCCCCCTCTATAAAATGGGGGTCGTACCCACCTTAGAGAGCCTTGAAATCAGTGGTGGGCCCCATTGTCCAGCACTCTGTCATAGCAATCACAATCCCTTTCTAAACAGACCTAGCATAGGGGGAAACCCACCTTAGAGAAGCGAAGGGACTTGCCCAAACCACACGTCAGGGTGGTCAGGGCTGGGAATAGCCTCTGAGTCCACTTTCTGCTAGCCCTTGCTACCTCTCAAGTGTAGCTTTTGGACCAGGTTGTGGTGGGCGGTCGAAGTACATTTCCTAGCTTCGGAGGCTACGAGCCATTGTGATGATCTTGTCTGACCTCCTGTGTAATTTGCGCTTTGTGGCTGCAATATACCTGTTGCCTTAAGGAAGTCGATTTTATTCAGGAATGGCTTTCCTTTACCGCCCCAGAACAAAGTGGGATAAGACTTTGGCAAGCCGCGTTATTTTAATGTTTGAAGGCTGAGAATATCGAAGCCCATAAAGCTTGGTTATTCTCCAAAAAATCTCTCTGTGGGCTCCTAAACCAAAGGCAACGCTCAGATGTCGTTCTTCACCTGGGAACTCGGAGGAGCGTGCTCTCGCAGTGCCATCTCATCTTGCGGAGGAGGGTGGTGTAAATTTATGACCCTGTGTAAACAATCAAAACGTTGCAGCTGGAACCTAGATGGGTATTCCTGTGTCTGCATCGAACGCTGGTGCCTGATGGGTTAATGTCACTAACTTAAGTCCAGATCCTCCAACGGGCCCGGGGACGTTGGGAGGCTAAATCCCTTTGAGAATCAGGGCCTTGTTTCTCAGAGGTAGAGCCCAGGGGTGCATGTGAGAAGAGCCATTGTTAGGTAGGCACCTTTCTGATTTGAGGTATTAGTTAGATTTGTACCGAAATCTGCTGTTCCCACAGAGGGCCTGGCATCACAGCTCCGGACTGTCGGATCCCCTTATGCTATGGGCTGACCAAACATAGAGAGTCCCTGCTCGCAACTGAAACCAACAAGACAGGAAGGATTGTGATTCCCATCTCCCAGCTGGGGAAACCGAGGCTCAGATTTGGTGACTTGCCTGTGGTCGCGCAGCGGGTCTCTAACCCTGATTTCCCGATTCCTTTCTCTTGCAGCAGCACCCAGGTTCAGAGCCCTTTTGCAAACATACACTGATTGTAGGGCAAAGCATGAGGATTGATTTCGATGTACTTTGCAGCACTGAATTCTTGCATCCTTTTGGCTTCCCATGCCTTAATGGACCACAGGAATTATTTAAGTTTGACCAGCTTCGACTGTTCCCCATTCATGCTGCCTTCTAACAGGCTACGGATCCAGGTAGTATTATTGGACAGTCTTGTTTCCTGCAAGCTCCTCTCAGTGGCGTGTTTAAATACGCTGATGATACGAGTTTCGTTACAGAGTACTTAGGGTTGTTGAGTCAGATTGCCCAATTAGCCAGGCAGGCTTAACCCTACAATTTTGCACTTACGGCACCTCCGTGGCAGAGCAGTGACAGGAGACCCTCTCGTGCCGTCTGAAAATCTGGTCTCCTCATTGAAGTGCTTGATAATTTAGCTGGTGAAGATGGTCTTGTGGTAAAAGCTAGGACTCCGGAGAGCCGGTTTCAGTTCCTCCCTGTGCCACACACTTTCTGCAGGAGCTTGAGCATATCGCTTTAATCTCTGGGCATCTGTAAAATGGGGCTGTTTCTTCCTTTGTCTTGTCTGTTCAGAGCACGCACTGTCTCTTACTATGTGTATGCCTAGCACAGTTGATCTCTAGCCCAATCTTCCCGAGCCACGAGACCGTCCTGGTGACAGCTGGCACAGAGTCCCAATGCTGTCATGTGTGTTCCCTTCATGCTCTCATTGGCTGTAATAACCTGTCCGGTCTCTCGTCCCAAAGCCAGAGTGGTTATCCCTGTCTGATCTCGTTCCACTGAGATTGCGGACATGGCATAATGTGACTTAGGGTTATTAAACCAAGATTGGGACCCCATGATGCTAGGTGCTGTACGTTCACATACAAGACCATTTCTGCCCTGAAGAGCTCGCAATCCCAATAGACTAACTAGAGGGGTGGTTATTTTCCCTGCTGTACACATGGAGAGCTGAGTCTCAGACTAGTATTCGTGTTTTAATATATCAGGCTTTTCATCGGTCAAAGCGCTTTACAGAGGAGGTGTCAGCATCAGCCCCATTTTAAAGATGGGGAAACTGAGGCCCAGATAGGGTAAGTGTCTTGCCTAAGCTCACCCAGCCCGTCAGCCCCAGATCCAGGAATAGACTCCAGGTCTCCAGTGCTCTATTCGCCAGTCCAGTGTTTTAGGTACAAGCCCAACCTCGGTTCATAGCCCCAAACTCCTCAGCTTGGACGTGAGGTGAAATTGTGTTGACTCCTTTTTGACCCATCTTGACAGTAAATTTGCCAAAAAATGACTATCAGGAAGTTCAATAGGGTTAGAAACAAAAGGTTGTCTAAAGCCGCAGCCCCTTTCGAACAGGTGATAGGGTATTGGATTGTGAAACCTGTTGCTCTTTCCCGTATTTAGATTTTGAAGCAATGAATGCTTTAGAAAGCGTAACGCTGGGAGAATATCGAGTGCAATTGACTCTACCCGTCAATATTTCCTTTCCTTTTTGCTCCAAAATTAAAACATTTAAAAAAAAA